ACACTAAACAGCTAAACAAGTACAAACTAGCAGAAGCTAACACTAAACAGCTAAACAAGTACAAACTAGCAGAAGCTAACACTAAACAGCTAAACAAGTACAAACTAGCAGAAGCTAACACTAAACAGCTAAACAAGTACAAACTAGCAGAAGCTAACACTAAACAGCTAAACAAGTACAAACTAGCAGAAGCTAACACTAAACAGCTAAACAAGTACAAACTAGCAGAAGCTAACACTAAACAGCTAAACAAGTAAAAAATAGCAGAAGCTAACACTAAAGAGCTAAACAAGTAAAAACTGAATCAATGAAAAAGGTTTTTCATCATGATTTTGGGCATTAGTTCAGCCCAGTTAACACATTTTGTTAATTCAGGAAAACATTTGCAAACACAATACAGGAGAAAATTGGTCACTTTTTATGACAGAGCTTGTAGCATCCTGTCTTTCTGATCTGGTGCAGAATCCAGCTGCTGGCTGTGATGCACAGCTGCAGCTGCTCTGCATGAAGTAACTACAAACCTGTTTAGTTGTCAAACATTCACTGAGGTTTAACCGGTTAGTTCACGCGCACAAGTTCAACTGTTAGCGTTAGAAACTTAGTTTTATTTAACCCAGATCAGTTCAGGCACACGGCAGCTTTAAAACCAACCCTGCACACACTACCTGAGCCTCTGCAAACACACACATATTGGCAGTGGGTTCGGATGAGTGGTCCTCTTTGCCGTCTGTGAGGATGGTGCCGTAGAGGAAGGCCAGATCGTCACTGGTGGGATGGTGTAACTTCAGCTGCATGAGAGAAAAATGAGGCTGTGAACGAAGGCCAGAAGTTTGAGTCCTGTCCACCTCTGATTTAATAAAGAATCTGCACAAAACTTAGAGAAATTATAGGAAACAAAGAGTCGCGGGTTCAGAAACGTGACGCTCTTCCTGCCTGAGATTTGACGGCTTTGGTCACTGCTGTTGCTGCGTCCACAAGATCCCGAGTCCTGGACTTCGTCACGTCCAGACCAAACCTCCGGGCATCGACGAAGGCGTAAAAAGCTCCTCCATAGCTGATGTCCACTGTCACCTCTCCAAAGCCCTCCACCGCCACAGCCACATCTGGTGTAAAGTCATTTCATCAGTCCTGCAGGATGTAAAACCACCTGAGAGGAGAATGAAAAAAAAAAACAAAGATGAGCGTCCTACCTGTTGCAAACGCAAACGCCGGCACGCTCAGAAACCTCACTGCCCCTGTCTTCCCGTCAGAGTACTCGACGAATGCCTTCACCAGACCACAGGGGCAGTGGATGTTCACCTGCGTCTCCGGGGACTGGGGGTCCTTCACCAGCCCGTAGTCCACGGCGAAGCGTCCCAGCGCGATGACGGCGTGCCCGCACATGGTGCTGTAGCCCTCGTTGTGCAGGAACAGCACTGCCAGGTGGGCCTCCGGGAGCTCGCTGCCCACCACCAGGGCGCCGTACATGTCGTAGTGTCCCCGTGGCTCGAACATCAGCAACCGCCTCAGGTGGTCCAGGTGGTCCCGGGCGTAGCGGCGCTTGGAGAGCACGCTGCCGCCTTTGACCTCGGGGTATCCGCTGACGATGATGCGTAGAGGCTCCCCACCTGTGTGCATGTCGACCACGCAGAGCTCGTCGCCTTCATGGGGTGGAAGCTGCAGCTCCATGACTGAACTGTTCAAACAGAAACACAGTTTGTCACATTAATATGCTGGAGCTTTAAAACTCACTCAGTTTGTCATTTGTCCACCACATTACTACAAATGAGGCATAAATGCAGCAACATTTTCATGCACAGCAGAGTCAACATGAGCATTTACTTTCATTTTAAGTACTAAACTGCATTTTCTATTTTTTATTATTGACATGTGTAAACTCCACACGTATTTTTATTATTGTTGAAAAACTATTCATGCAGTTTTGACATTTCAAGCATTAAATTCGTGATGACTTTTTAAAATAGTTTTGTGACCTTAAGTGAGTCATGCACAACAACTCGTGTAAAATAGTAAAACTGCGCCAACACGCACAGGTAGTTTCATCAATACACTGACAGAAAACTGAAAAATGTTTACCTGACACCGCTGTTTTCTGCTTTTAACGACAAACGTCTGCACAAATCTGTTTTATTTACCCACTATTTTTCCTGTTAATGTGATTGTTTGACTCTGAGACAGCGCCACCTAGTGGTATGGAGGACTGGCTGAGACGTTTAATGACCTCAAAAAATGGGATTTAAATCATTTTGAAGGGTAAAAGAATACATTTATTACTTGTTCATAAACTATGGTGTGTCAAGTGTGAAATAAAATATTAAATGTTAATTTTTAAAAAGGATTTATGTATATGTATATTGTTTAACATTTAAATTTACAATTTAGTAAAAATTAGATAAATGTGAGAACATTTATTATAACAATAAAACGTTAGTTGGCACTTTCAAACCAGGATTCACTCAGAAAGCGAGTTAAATAATAAAAGCGTTAGTGACACTTTTTAACATTTTATTTTACACCGGCCACCCCATAATAACCTGACACTTCAAATCTGAACAATTGTTTGAAAGTAAATTTGAAAGTTTGTGTGAATTTTTATTTTAATAAACAAATCTCACTTCATTATATCACAAACAATTATTTACACAAAAAATAAAAAGTAAAACATATAACCAGTTGTGAGATATAAACACAAGGATTTCTGTCTTCAATAAATTAGATTTTTATGTACATTCAAAATTAACAAACAGGGTAAATTTCCTTAAAACCTTAAGATAGGCTAAATCTACAAGAACCTGAATGTTTTTGATTAATAACACATTTTCTGATGAGACTAAAACAAACATTTTGCAAAAACTAGGAAAAACTGTTCTCTTTTGTCTAGTTAATAAAACACAAAAAATAAATAAACAAAAGACGACATTTGTTTTAGCTGTCAGAATATGAATCTTTTCTTATTATTATAGAAGAATAAAATTAACAAAAAGCTGTTTAGTATTTTATGTTTAATCAGCCCTGGTCAGGTGAATTTAAAACTAAAACTGTTTCATTTTTACAAAATCCAAGGCTCTGTTTTTTTAAGTGATCATAACAAGTCCTCATGTAAAGTAAGAAGGTAAAGTTATCAAGGCTTCATATTTATATAAGAAAAAGATGTGTTACATAAGAAACCAAACAACAGATGGTGAGCAGGCATCAGTTTTCATTACTCAGGTTCCCTCACGTGCATGCATGGTGGTTAAACATGTCCAAACTAAATGTATTAAACCAACTAACATGCTGACGTCCTCACAGTTCATACTCAGGTAATTCACAGCAGCCACACACACAGTTTTAATTTAAAATCAGTTCTTATACCTGAGCAAGTTACAAGGTGAAATATACAGTGACGTACTGGAATTAGCTGCTGAAATATTCCCGTCCTTTTCAAATTCAGGATTAAAACAAAACCAAATATTCTTATGTGAACAAGAAAATTAGTTTCAGGACAGTTCAATAAATAAACGCAGCAACTCACATATTTTTTTAATCTTCTTGTTCCAGTTGTATCTACAATTGTAGATATGTGTAATTTATTATCCAACAAGTACTTTAACACCATAATACAGATTAATCAGTCTTTAATTTCATAAGGCACATACTTAAACTCTAGAGACAAAAACTCCAGATAAATTAACAACTACCTGCAGACAATTAAAAAAACATCTATCTGAAGCAATTTGTTATTAACTCTAGTGGTAATGTGGTTTAGAGCAGGGATCGTCAATTCCGATCCTCGAGGGCCGCAGACCTACACGTTTTACTTGTTTCTCTTCTCCAACACACCTGATTTGAATGAATGGATGATTTTCAGTCTTCTGCAGAACTTGGAAAAGGTAATTCACTGACTGAATCAGGTGTGTTAGAGAAAGGAAATCAGTAAAACATGCAGGGCTGCGAACCTCGAGGACCGGAATTGATTATCCCTGGTTTAGAGCAATGATTCCCAACCAGGGGTACGTGAACTTCTTGGGGTACATGAACATACTGTATTGCAGGAAGTACGTTGAAATATTTCCCTGGTGTGTTAATAAATAAATAAAAATAGGACTGAGATAGCCGTAGGGCCCTATGATTTCCACAATGCGGAAATTACAGACAGAATCATAGAATTAACACATAATTGAATCCAGTATAAAACAAGGAATCTAAAAGAATTTGCTAATTTGGGTGAGTTTCTGACGTATTTTGGACAATACATTGTATTTTGGATGCTGCTGTTTTCTGCACCTGCCATTACCTGGTTTATTTATTTAATTACTTGTTCACTTTCAAGGCAAATTTTTTATCTTTATGTTTAATTTGAGTAATAAAAACAAAATACCTGAGAATTAAACATTCTAAGGGGTTAAATAAACAATTTTCATTTAATAATCAGTTGTAGCGCATTACAGTTTTGGATACTTATCATTATGTTTAACTGCAGGGGTACTAGTGGTATGACTAAATGGTTGAAGTCTAAAAGGTTTGGGAACCACTGGTCTAAAGTCCTGAAACATTCCAGCACTTTCAGTACCTTGGACAGTTCCTTCAACAGTTCCTTCAGTCCTTCACTCTAAAGTCCTGAAACATTCCAGCACTTTCAGTACCTTGGACAGTTCCTTCAACCCTTCACACTGTCTAATTTTCAGAAACATTCCAGCACTTTCATCACCTTGGACAGTTCCTTCATTCCTTCACACTGTCTAAAGTCCTGAAATGTTCCAGCACTTTCAGGTCCTTGGACAGTTCCTTCAGTCCTTCACACTGTCTAAAGTCCTGAAATGTTCCAGCACTTTCAGGTCCTTGGACAGTTCCTTCAGTCCTTCACACTGTCTAAAGTCCTGAAATGTTCCAGCACTTTCAGGTCCTTGGAC